AAACCCTGTGTCCAAAAAAAAAAAAAAAAAAAAAAAAAAAAAAAAAAAGTGTCTGCATGTATGTATGTGCACAGGTGTATGACTGGTACTCTTGAAAGTCAGAAGAGGGCTTTGGATCCCTGGGAACCAGGGTTACAGATAGTTGTGAGTCATCATGTGGGTGTCAGGAGGTGAACCCCAGTGCCCTGTGAGAGCAGCAAATGCTCTTAACCAGTCAACCATCTCTCTCCAGACTCCAACAGATCAGTTTTAACCATGGAAAAACAGCATGAAAGGTAGTTGGAGACTGTATGGTAGTGGACGGTTCTTCCTTTACTGTGTACTGTTTCATAGACTTTGATATATTTTCATCAAGAGGAAACCACAGACAGGAAAAGGCCTGCCCAAAGTTAATCAGTGTAGGAGGCCTGTAGGTCCTTGTGCTCACAGATAAATACTAGGGAAAACAGAATGTTAAACACACAGAGCTGTCTTTTCAAAGGGAGAGGTGTGCAGACCTGTTTTCCACCCAGAAATCTGAGAACAGATGTGGTGACCTTTGCAGTATCTGTGTGGCCAGGCCACACCAGCTCCCCAGACCTTATCTTGAGGTTGTCTCAGTTAATCTGTAGTGCTATCCTCCCCCAGACCCTTATTAGAAGCTTGCTATCTTGAGCTCATTTCCTCAGTCAATCTATCTTTGTGGAAGATGTCACTTGTACTTTACAAAGAGTTTTAATGTAGTCATGTCTTAAGCTTTGTTATGTACACCGGATTAGTTATCACCAGAAAACTTTGTTCCCAATTGTGCTGTACTTAAATATGCCTAAAAATAAATGACCTGGTATCAGACTCTGAAAGTTTAAACCAATGCCAGCTACTAAGTCTTTTGAACCAAACTGTCTTCTTTCCTTTCATGGACCAACACTCTGCTGGCCTTGGTGGTCTCAGAGGCCCCCACATTCAGATGTATGAAGAATAATGAAGACTAGGATCTTGTTTTCAGAATAAAAGATATGGTGAAAATCTTGCTCTAACGTTTACCACACTTTTTTTCTCACATTTAAAAATTTCCAAGAATTTTCAAATTCATTGTTTTAGTATTACATTGCTTCTATAAGAGCCTTGTAAGAGAGACAGATATCACCACTTCCTGCGTTCTCTCTTCTTCCTCTCCCCACCCCCATTCCTCTCTACCTCTCCCCTGCCCCCCCTTTTTTTTTTGGTTTTAATCATTGGGGGTTTTTGTTTGTTTAAGAGATGAGGAAATAGACTTAGGCACAGTTGGTTTTCCCAAGATCACAAGAAATATCAGTGTGGACAGAGGAGGCCACTATACCACTGAAACATGGCATATTAAATTTCCAATATAGCCCAGCATATTAAGAAGGGACTGACTCTAGCAAGTCATCCTCTAACCTCCACATGTGGCCACACAGTTTATAGAGCCCTGGGAATAGATCCCAGGGCTTAGTGAGTGTAAAGGACACACAGAAAGCACTAGAGAAACCAGGATTGCTAGTTAAGCAGGCTTTCTTATTCAAAGGAAGGAAACAATGCCCGTACACCTGGAAGGCTGGAGTGGATGTTGTCTACCGACCTGGTGATCTTTCAATATCCCTTGGAGCCAGTCTTCACCTGAATCCCCCCAAAATCCTGAGCATTGTCTCTCATGCAATAGAACCCATCTTTATGCTTGTTACAAATCCTTCCTCCCTAGACCCATGTCTAGTGGCATAGCTCACTGGTAGAGAAATTACTTGGCATATGGAAGACTCTGTTTGATCACCAACACCACAGAAATAAGTAACTAATTCTTCAAAGGTGTTCAAAACCAGCTTTGCTTTTTGAAAAAGAAGAATTAATTTTATGAGCATTTTGCCTGTGTATGTTTATGTGCATCATGTGTGTGTGTGATGCTCAGTGAGACCAGAAGAAGGCAGTGGACCCCTGGAACTGAATTAGGGACCACCATGTGGGTTCTGGAAAATGAATCCAGGTCCCCTACAAAAGGAGCAAGTGCGCTCAACCACTGAGTCATTTTCAAAACAAAAACAAAAAACAAAAAAGCTTTACTTTTAACCATTTATGTGCTTCAAATTTAAAACATTTATTAAATAATTGTATGAATCAAAATACAACTTCGTCTTCTGGACATTTTATAACAACATTTTGTAGTGTTTTGTTTCAAGACAGGGTTTCTCTATGTAGTCATGGAACTCACTCTATAGACCAGGCTGGCCTCAAACTCAGAGATCTACCTGCCTCTACCTCTCAAGTGCTTGGATTAAAGGCGTGAGCTACTACACACAGCATTTTTTAGTTTTTATAACATTTTCCTTATCACAGTGGCTATAGCTCATCACTAACATAGCCATGCTTATGATAAGGTATAAAGGTTACTTAAGGACAACCTGAAAAAAACGGTATGTGACAAAAACAGAGATTTGAAATGACTGATTTATTAAGCACTTCATGGATATTATGGTTATTAGAAAACATAAAGATAGCAAGGTGTAAGGGGTAGAAAGAACAAACATGAATATCCCAGGAATGGACTCTGATAGAGTTCCATCTACAGTACATTCTTGTTCGCAGACTTTTCAGAGAGAAAGTTGTAAAGTGAACGAACTATAACCTAGTTAGAACATTAAATACAAATTGGTCATGACACATTTGTTTCTTCGGGACAGAGCAGGTGAAATTAAATTAAGAGAGTGCATTTCATCTTCATGGCTTGTTAGAAAGAGAAGACCTTGTTTAGATTTCTGGGTAAGAGCCATAGCTAGCAATCCCACATTGATTTTTATTATTTCTTGCCATCCGAATATATCCTTGATCACCAAAGTGAAGGCCCCAGCTATAAAAAGAGAAAGAGCACAAAATTATAAATTAATATAACAAAACAGTATTATCAATATTTTATCTTGTTGGGTGTTGGTGGCGCATGCCTTTCATCTCAGCACTGGGAGGTAGGCAGAGGCAGGAGTATCTCTGTGAGTTCGAGGCCAGCCTAGTCTACAAGAGCTAGTTCCAGGACAGCCTCCAAAGCCACAGAGAAACCTTGTCTTGAAAAAACAAAAAAAAAAATTATCTTTTTGCTTCTCCCTAAAACACTTATATGTTTTTAATTAATTAATTAATTTTATTTTATGTGCATTGGGGTTTTGCCTGCATTTATGTCTGTGTGAGGGTGTCAGATTCCCCTGGACCTGGAGTTACAGAGAGTTGTGAGCTACCATGTGGGAAAACCCAACTGTGCTTCAAAGTCTTGGCTTTACATATTTCCTCCCATAGCAGAAAGATTCAGGAACTGGAGAGATGGCTCAGTGGTTAAGAACACATACTGGACTTCCAGGGAACCTGAGTTTGAGTCCCAGCACCCATGTTAGGAGGCTCACATCCACCTGTAACCCAGGTCCAGGGGATCCTATGCCTCGGGCCATCTTGGTCACCTGCACTCCTGTGCACACACCTACACACATAATTAGAAATAAAGCTTTAAACTATCTTAAAATAATTTATGTCTTATTATGCGTGCCTGCTAGTTTATATGCACATGAGTGTCACAGAGTCTAAAAATGGGCCTCAAAGCCCCAGGAACTGTAGTCTAGGACAGCTGTGAGCCTCTTGATTGGGTGCTAGGAACAGAACCCAGGTCCTGGGCAAGAGCAACAAAGGCTCTTAACTGCTGAGCCATCTCTCCAGCCTCTTCTTTCCCCTTTTCCCTCTGAAAGTTGTACTCATTTTGCTTATGAGTTATACACTGCAGTGCAGTATTGAGGGGGTCACTGTGAGCCAGAACGGGGCTGAGGATGAAAATCAAGTCTGTCTTCATGGCTACCACAACTACTCATAAGCACCCAACTTATATTCAAGTTGGAAAATTCTTTGGCTCTGAATCTATAAAATAGTTTGGCAGCATAGTGGCTGAAGAGATGGCTAAATGGTTAGGAGCACTGGCTGCTCTTGCAGAGGACCTGGTTAGGTTCCCGGCACCCTCATGGTGACTCACAACCATCCTTGACTGCAGTTCTGCGCTGATGCCTCCCTCTTCTAAACTCTGAGGGCAACAGGCATACAAGTGATGCACGCCTTTAATCCCAGCACCTGTAAGGCAGAGGCAGACAAATCTCTGTGAGTTCCAGGCTAATTTAGTATACACAGTAAGTTCCAATCTCAAAAAAAAAAAAAAAAGCATTTTACTTATTCCAAACATTCAGAGATTTTATTTTCCAGAATAGATAATGTTCAAGCTGCTTTGGTTTAAAATATTTTTACTACATTTTTCTCTATGGGGGAGGCTTGAGTTAGTGGAGGTCAGAGGACAAATTGGAAGAGCCAGTTCTCTCTCCTTTCACCATGCAGGATGTAGGATCAAGCTCAGGTTGTAAGGCTGGACAACAGTACCTTTACCCACTGAGCCATATGGTTGGTCTTTTTTTTTTTTTTAATTGCATTTTGGATATTTTAAGTCTGTATTTTATTTTATTGAGGGACATGAAGACAGGTCACATGTAGCTCAGGCTGGCCTAGAATTTTGTGTGTAGCCAACAATGACCTACTTCCACCTCCTAAGTGCTGGAGTGATAAGAAAAGCAAGTGGAGAATAGCAGTGTGCATCTGTAATCCCAACACTCAGGAGCCAGATACAAAGGATGGCCGTAAGTTCAAGGCTAACTGGAAGATATAGTGAGTTCCAGGTCATCTAGGAGTAATAGCAAGACCCCATCTCAAAACACCAAATGATATAAAATAGAATGAAAAGTATTATAGAAGACAAATTGTAAAAATAAAGATGAAGGTGGGTGCCTTAGTCACTGTCCTATTGCTGTGAAGAGACATCATGACCACAGCATTTTATTAGGAGTTTGATTACGGTTTCAGAGGGTCAGTCCATTACCATCATGGCAGGGAGCATGGCAGCAAGCATGATGCTAGAGCAGTAGGCAAAAGCTACATCCTGACCCTCAAGCAGAGAGAGGGAGAGAGAGACAGACAGGGAGGGAGGGAGGGAGGGCTTGGCCTGGCCTGGCATTTTGAAAGCTTTAAGCCCACCCCCAGTGACACGTTTCCTCCAACAAAGCCACACCTCCTAATCATTGTAATACTTCTCCAATAGTGCCACTCCCTGATGACTAAGCCTATGAGGGCCATTCTTATTAAAATCCACCCCAGTAAATGCTCATCCTTGTTGCTATGGTGACCAGCATCCTAACAGCAAGAGTACATTTGTTGATGCCCCCGCCCCCCACAGTTCTGACAATGGAGCTGACACTGATGTGCAAATGTATTACCTGTTTTTCACAAGCCAGTAGTCTTTCCCATCAAGGTTCCCATAGCCAACCACTAGTACACCATGGTTTACGTTCTCAGTACAGGAGGGCTCATCATAGACACCTGAGAATAAACCACAGATGAGAAAGAGGCAAGTGCTACAGGATAACACAACGTATGGACACTCAACTACTTTTTATAAGGATCTTGGAGATATGACAAAGTGATTTAGACATCACAGTTGTTTAACATTGATACTGCTTCCCTGACAAGTTTGAGACTGATCCATCAAAAAAAATTATTATATTCATTCAGCACATTTTTCTTTTTTTTTTTAGGATTCATTTATTTATTATGAATACAACATTCTGCCTCCATGTATGTCTGCACACCAGAAGACGTCACCAGATCTTATAACTGATGGTTGTGAGCCACCGTGTGGTTGCTGGGAATTGAACTCAGGACCTCTGGAAGAGCAGCCAGTGCTCTTAACCTCTGAGCCATCTTTCCAGCCCTGGCCAGCACATTTTTTCTAATTCTCCTAATTTATATATAATCAGTTGTATTTCTTTGTATAAGTTCATAAATTGTTTTGTCCCCTTTGAGCCTTTTCTATTAAATTCTCCTTAGTGCCTATTGTTGCTTTCTACTGTGTATAATACAGAGTTCTGTATTTATTGGACTCTCGGGGACTGTGTCATTGAGCTTTTATGAGGGTGTATACAGTTTTAAGTGTCAACCTTAGAGAAGTGTTATGTGCCCTCCTTTAAGTTTCCATAGTGCTTAAGGCCAGGGTGGCACATAGGTCCCCTAACAGGCCTCAAACTTGATAAGTAGTCAGAGATGACCTCGAACTTCTGATCCTCCTGGCTGCATTTCCCAAGAGCTGAGACGACAGGCTTGTACCACTATGCCCAGTATATATGTGTGCTGGGCACTGACCCCAAGGCTTCATGTATAGTGAGCAAACATTTTACTACCTGAGCCACGTTCCCATTCCTGCATTCTTTTTTTCTAACAGCCAAATAGCATCCGACGTTGTATATGTGCCATCTTTCCTTTATCCACTCATCAGTTGGTGGTCACTTAGGTTGTACTGCAATGAACTTGAGAGATGTCTTTTCATTATACTGATTTGATTTCTTTGGGATATGTTCCTGGCAGTGGAATTGCTGGGTCAAATTATAGCTCTATTTTTTTTTATCTTTTTGGGGAATTTCTATATATTCTATATAAGAATTGATATTCTTATCATCAGTGTGCAAAGGTTCTGTTTTCTCCATGTCACCAGCATTAGGTTATCTTTTATCTATATGTTTGTTTGAGACATGTTCTTCTATGTAGTCCTGGCTGGTCTGGAATCTGTAGGGGATGCTGTAGCCACACCTGCTTAGGGGCTGGCTACAGGTGTGCCTGACCACGCCTGTGAGGGCATGGCCAAGGTGACATAGAGATAGTTTAAGAGTGAGGGACGCTTACATGGGGCCCTGCTTTCGCTTTCATCTTCGGCTTGCTGTACTTACTGCTGCCCTGCTGGCTGGCTAGATTGCTCTGTAAGGAAGGCTTTTCCCAATTAAATTCCCTTGTATTTTTACCTGACTCTGTATTGATAATTTCACACATTAGGAATCCTCACTATCTAGTCAGTGTCCTGGTGAGTTTTTCATTGACTTGACACAAGCTAAATTATTTGGGGGAAAGGAACCTCAATTGAGAAAATGCCTCCTCCTGGAACAGCCATATCTGATGGGAACAGCAAAAGTCATAAGACCAGCATAGCTGTTTGACAAAATCCAACAAGCTGAGCCACATGATGGTTGCCATGCTAACTTTGGTTTTTATCTCCACCTGTTGTATACTTGGGAGACTTTTTTTTGAGACAGTGTTTCTCTGTGTAGCTATGTAGACCAGGCTGGCCTTGAACTCACATAGATCCACCTACCTTTGCCTCCTGAGTGCTGGAATTAAAGGTGTGTACCACCACTTCTTGGCTGAGACTTTTAATATTTGTACAATTTAGAAATATTGGATTGATGGAAAATTTCTTATGAATCATTTATGCCTTCTCCCGGGAGTACTGCTTGCTAGCTTCCCCAGGAAAGTCCTGAACACACTACCACTCCCACTTTTACAAGATATCCTTACTTATTTGAAGGTCTTTCTTATGCCTTGGAGGTTGTGACACACATAAAGAAGTCAGAGGTCTCTTTATGAAGACTATGAGACATTCTTGGAGCATCCGTCCCTGTACTTACACAGGAACAAGATACTCAAAACACAGTAAACTCAAAAAGGTTAACAAGATTCAGCCACAGTTCAGATTGCAAGCCTCTTTCCACTGTACACTCAGGTGATTATGTGGCATATACAACAACAAAATTAGATTAGTGGAAGTTATATCTATCCTACACGGAGACTTATACTGATGGGCAAAGAATGATGTAGAAAGATGATAAACATATTCTATAAAATGTAAACATTGTAATATGCCAGAATTTGAATAATAACTGCAGCAGCTTTGGCCTGAGGATATTCCCTGGGCACTCTGACCATTAAGAGTTAATAATAGCCGGGCGTTGGTGGCACATGCCTTTAGTCCTAGCACTCGGAAGGCAGAGGCAGGCAGATCTCTGTGAGTTCGAGACCACCCTGGTCTACAAGAGCGAGTTCCAGGACAGCCTCCAAAGCCACAGAGAAACCCTGTCTCAAAAAAAAACAAAAACAAACAAACAAACAAAAAAAGAGTTAATAATACACGCTTGGGATATGACAGCATGTCTGGGATGGCTTGAAGATTGTTTTGGTCCAGTGTCCTTGTACCTACAAAAGCTACCAACCTAAAAACAGGCTGTCATATGCCTCTAGATTTTTTTTTTCCTGAGCCAGGGTTTCTCTGTAGCGTTGGAGTCTGTCCTGGAGAACCTCCAGGCTGGTGTTGAATTCACAGAGATCTGCCTGCCTCTGCCTCCCAAGTGCTGGGACTAAAGGCATGCCCCACCACTACCTGCTGCCTCTAGATTCTTAAAAATTGGGTTATGGGGTTGATGAGTAAAAATGGTTATGAAAAATAACTGTTTATCAATGATGTCAAAACTTGAGGGAAAATGATTGGAAATGATAACTCTGTTCTGTCATAGTTTATTAATGATGACTAAAAGATGAATGAGAGAAAATGTTAAACACATGTCCAAAACCAAAAATGGAATGACCTATGATTTGGAACAACATGAATGTATCCTTACTTACTAAATTCTGTATAAATAAAGAAGCACTCTGGCTGCAATATTCTCCCGACCACCATGGTCTGGCTCACTTCCTTCCCTTGCCAACTCCTTACATCCTTGGCTGGGACCTGTCCACCACTGGGGATGGCTCCCAGCAACCATCAGATTGGCCTGGAGGCAAATCTGTAGGTCATTTTCTTGAAAACATGCTTAATGTGGGAGGGTTCAGGGTTCAGCCAACTGGGGGTGGTGCCTTGCCTGGGAAGGTTCTCCTGGGTGGAATAAGAAAGCAAACTGAGAAAGCCATGAGGAGGGAGCAAGCCTGTAAGCAATGCCTTCCATTGGCTCAGCTTCAGCTCCTGCCTTGGATTCCCCTGAAGATGGATTGTGAACTGCAAACCAAATAAACTTTCCTTCCCAAGTTGCTTTTGGTCAGTGTTTTAACACAGCAATAGAAGCCTAACAAGGCTCGTCAGGCTGGCTTCAAACTTGAGGTAATCCTGCCTCTGATTCCCAAGGGCTAGCGTTACAAGCATGTGCTAACATGCCAGGCTGTGTTTTTGAGAGAGGGTCTTGCTGTTCTGTTTTGTTGGTCTGGGGTCTGTTTTTATGCTGACACCATGCTGTTTGGTTGCTGTAACTCAGGAATGCAGTCTCTTGTCTTGCTCCCTTTGTTAAGATGGCTTTGGCTATTGAGGGTTTTCACGGTTTCATACACTCTTTAGGATTATTCTATCTAGTTTTGCAAAGAATTGGATTGATATTTAGGTCCATTCTGTAAACAGAGGGTATAGCTTTCACCTCTGGGTGTATCCTTTGGAGTCTCACTAGAGCACCTTCTGCTCTCTAGATAAATTTATCATTACTTCCACCCCCAGTTGTAAGTGGAAGTCCTCTTTTGATTTTTAGTTCATATAATGTACTCTTGGTGTATTTAAAAAAAAAAAAACTAATTTTTTTGTTTGCTTTATTTTTGCTTTTTTGATAGTCTCACTGTGTAACCCAAGCCTCAACCTTGTTATCCCTCTACCTCTGTCTCCAAAAATGCTAAGATTACAGACACACTCACCAACCCTAGCCACAACTTATTTTCATGTATGGATTGTGTAGCCTGTCTCATGGTTTTAGATTGCATACATTTTAATCCAGCACCACTTTCAGGCTGAGTGGCTTAGGCTAACCTTTTTTTCCCCCCCTTAATTTTGTTTTTAGATTTATTTTTATTATTTTACGTGTATGAGTGTTTTTGCCTGGATATGCACCACATGCCTGCCTGGTGCCTGAGGAGGTATGATCTAGGAATTGAATCTGGGTCCTTTGCTCTTAATCACTAAGCCAACTCTTCAGCCCTGAGGCAGATTAGTATTGCCAAGCAGTGTTCATGTAATTAGGGTTACTGAGTGGATGGAATAAGATACATGAGGAACTTAGTGAAGGGGTACTAATAAGCTTTCACCAGTGGGATGCTCAGTCTACACCCCAAGCGTAGCAAATAACAAGAGGCCAGCGCCTCCATTTTTACCACTTTTGTAGAGGAAGAAGGAAGGATGGCTGGCATCAATGCCCACAGACACAGGTCCTTTATTAGCCACAGCTTCTTTCAGCGCCTCTTCATCACCCGAAGGGAGCTCCATATACCTTGAACATGTGGCAGCTCGACTTTTTGAGTCATAGTGACATTTTTCAGCCTGCAAATAAACAAGCATAAAGTCTACTTCAGCTTCCTGGATTTCAAACATGACTCCTCCCCACCCTCCACTTTACCCCTTTAAACCCGCTAAGATCCTCTCTCCCTCTGTTCCTCTCTTTCCACCCCCTTTATTGTTTTGCTCCAGGTTTTTCTGTTTGTTTGTTTAAACACTGTGTCAAACTGGGAATGGTAGCATAGGCTTATAAGCCAAGTTCTGGGCCAGCTGGAGCTATATGAGATAGCACAAAACAAACATAACCCCCCAGAGACAGTACTCAGGAGGCAGAGGCAGGTGCATCTCTTATGAGTTCAAGGCCAGTCTGGTCCGCAGAGTGAGTTCCAGGACAGCCAGAGCTATGTAGTGAGACTGTCTCAAAAGCAAAAAACAAATAAAAAAACCCAGGAGGTTACTGTTGGTTAAATATATGATTGTGTTTATCCCTAAAATCATAACAGAAAAGAGACTGAAAGAAATAAACCAAAGTAATAATGCCCAAGGTAGGAAGTTTTCAAATGATAATTTTTTAAAAATGTGATTTTGTTTGGTTATGTTTTCGAGACAGGGTTTCTCTCTGTAGTCCTGGCTGTCCTAGAACTAGCTCCGTAGACCAGGCTGGCCTTGAATTCAGAGATCCGCCTGCCTCTGCCTCTCAAGTGCTGGGATTAAAGGCACCACTGCTTGGATAAACTGTGATTTTTTTAATTATCTAATTTTATTTCATGTACATGGATGTTTTGTCTATGTGAGGGTGTCAGATCCCCTGGAACTGGAGTTACAGAACGTTGTGAACTGCCATGTGGGTGCTGGGAATTGAACCCAGGTCCTCTGGAAGAGCAGCCAGTGTTCTTAACCACTGAGCCACCTCTGTAAGACTTTAGGCATTATGCTGGCCTGCCCTGTCACCTGGCAGAATGCACTCAGCAGTACCCAGGGTTCCATGGCTACTAGTCTGCACGCAGGTGCAAATGACGCCTTTAAAAGACAGACCCCAGCCGGGCGTTAGTGGCGCATGCCTTTAATCCCAGCACTCGGGAGGCAGAAGCAGGCGAATCTCTGTGAGTTCAAGGCCAGCCTGGTCTCCAGAGCGACGGCCAGGATAGGCTCCAAAACTACACAGAGAAACCCTGACTTGAAAAACAAAACAAAACAAAACAAAACAAAAACCAGACCCCCCAGCCCACTTACGCTCTCTCTTTCCTGCTGTTCCCCTGGGGCAAACAAGACTTTTCCTGTCTCCCTCTTCTCTCTATCTCTGTTTCTGTCTCTGTGTCTCTTTACCTCTTTTCTTTCCTTCCCCCTCCCTCCCCTTTCTAATAAAACTTCTCACTTAAGCTGTCTGCCTGGCATGTTTGTCCCTCCTCAGTCAACCTCACCTGCCATGGAATCCGACATGGTTACCCCTGCGCTTTATCATAACAACCTCTCTAGCCCCTAAAATGTGATTTTTATTGCATTTATTTATGTAGTGTGGAGGTCAGAGGATGACTTACAGGACTTGGTTTTCTCCTATCACATGGGACCAGTGATCAAACTCAGGTTGTCAGACTTGGCATTAAAGCCTGAACCTTTCAGTAGGTGCCTTTACCTAATGAGCCATCTTGCCAGCCCTGGAGGGATAATTTTTCTTTTCCGTTTTTTTTTTTTTTTGTTATATTACTCAACAGAATTTGTAAGAAAACAAAATGAAAGTCTTATAGCAACGAGGATAACATTATTGAGCCTTTCAAGTGGGAGAACAAGCTTGCTGATGACCCAAGAATATCATTAAGCATTGAAGGTTGCAGGACTAAAAAGCTAAATATCAGATAATACACAGAAAGCTTTTTAAAATGTTTTCTTTAAGCCTGTATTTAAATATGAATGCTACCTTCTTGTTTGAAAATATTTTCTTCTTAGAGCTTGGCGGCTAACCCCTATAATTCAGCATTTGGGAGGTATAGGCAGAGGGTACAGAAATTCAGAATCTCCTCAGCTATGATGTGAATTGGAGACCAGCCTGGACTGCAACAAACAAGCATCAAAACCCACGGGTAGATTAAGATGGTCAGGGCATGTCGAAGAGAACTCCTGCTACTGAAAAGAGTTTCTAGAAGGGGTCAAGCAGTTGTGTTGTCGGTGCCAGTGTGGCAGTGGTGGGAACGAACTCACAGGAGACATGCGTGACGTACCACGGCTTTGTAGGGATAGGAAGCATCTGAGTCAATGCCACCATTATCGATGATGTACTGAAAAGCCCTTGTCATGAAGCCACCATCGCAGCCTTTATTCCCGTATTTTTCTTCGGTAGAGCAATCCACCAGGTTCTGTGCGCTGAGAGACACCAGCTTCCCTGTTTTCAGCTTCAGCTGCGCCTCCAGGGCCCCTACGGCACTGAAAGCCCAACAGGACCCACAAGAACCCTGAAACAGAGAAGTCAGTCTCAGAATCAGTAAGGATAGCTTCCGCAGTGCAGATGGCTCCAGCTCTGCCACGAAAAGCTCCTTCCAGCATTGTCTCTCATTGTCCAGGCAAGGTCCTGCCCTGGTGGAGGAGGTTAAATTACAGCAAGCATTTCGAGTGCATTGACAGTACACACCAAACATGTTCAAAGTCCCAACTATCCTCTCCTCTCAGCAAACAGATGCAACAGGTGTCAGATCTTAAACCCAGGACGAGTGGTTAACATATCAAAGCAGATCTGGCCACCAGGTTCTCCCAGCATCCCCCAGTCCCTACCTGTTACAGGGTATGGGGTTGGCATATCCCATCCCCTACTGTAAATTTCTCCAGCCCAGAGGCTGGGCTGCCATTCCTCCAGCTGCCTTTTCTCATATATTCCAGCTATTTTGGGTATCTGGCCCTTTTAGACTACCCTTGACTCTCCTGGCTCTCGCCTATCCCCTCCCTCCTCTCCTCACATGGTCCGGCTCAGGATCATGTGCACTCTGACCCCCCCCAAATGTCCCTGCCTCTGGCTATGCTCTCCCTCATATCTACAATAAACCTTCTCCTCCTCCATACCTAGGAGCAGCCATGTCCTTCCTTTTTAAATTCTTTTTTCCACTCAATGGGAAAACGATTTTGAGAGGAGACAGAATAACTCGGGGCCAACTGAGCCAGGCAGGAGGGACAGGGAGAGGCACTTTAGTTGGGGGATATTTGATCACACTGTGAACCCCGAGTTTGCATTTGCATTAACTAAATAAAATTAACCTTGGGTCAGGAGGATGCATTAGCAACTAGTTGACAGAAAGTAATCATGGGGCATTAAGGGCCTCCAGGAGAGACAGAGAGACACAGGAAGTAGTAGGGAGGATTTGGAGTGGATTTGTAGCTTTTTCTGGTTTGGCAAAGGAGCATGGGTCTTTCAAAGACTCCAGCAAGGAGAGAAGGTTAGCTATTTGCAACTCAGTCTCTCTGAGCTAGCAGGTTTTCACCCCAACCTTTGATGCTTGAGTCTTATTTACAAATAGAACGACAGAGATTTAGTTAAAGCTACCTTTAGAGGCAGCCACAGAGCTGGTGCCTGATGGAACAGAATTCCCAACAGACTGTAGCCTGAGCAGTCAGGACGCTGCTAGAGAAGAGGGTTGGTAACTATGGAGTTGTCACTGCTGGCTGAGATAGTACTAGATTAAGGGACAGCCACTGTGCTGAAGTTAAAACAACACACTTTTGTATTCTTCAGACCTCATGTTGTAGAAAGGAGCCTTCATTACACATTGTAAACAGTGTGGCCAGGGCACACAGTGAATGGTTAGCTGTTGAGTCAGTGCACTAGCCCAGGTGACACCACAGGAGAACAGCAGGGCTCAGTGGCCTGGGAAGAAGGCAAACCAGCTACCAGAGAGGTGATAATGAGACATGCTCAGAAGGTGGTAGGGAGGAGGCACTAAGACCAAGAGTCTCACAGACCACTTGAGCGGAGGCTAAGGCTCAACTTTGGAACGACTGACTGCTTCATTTCCACTCCCTATAAAGCCTGCTGCCAGAGATGAGAAGCAAGACAGACTTCCAGAATGTCCACCTGCTACCTTCTCAGGCCAGCAATTCACAGAAGAAAACGCAGCCTAAAGATTCAGCTCTGGGGCTGCAGAGACGGCTTAGTGATTAACAGTCCTTGCTTCTCTTGCAGAGGGCCAGGTTCTGGTGCCCAGCACCCATGTGTTAGCTCACCACCTTCAGTGACTCCAGTTCCAGGGGACCTGATGCCCTCATCTGACCTCTGCAGGCATTCCGTGCATGTGGTAGAAACACCCTCCCCCCCCCCACCC